GTCCAGTTTGACTTTTTTTATATATATTATCTTCTCAATGCATCGATCACTAATTCTCCAGGTTACGTTGGGGGGGGGGGTCCGTTTTAGTTCGTCTCTGACTGATCTTTTCATCTTTCTCTTGTGTTACTATAATTTTTCTTCACTGTGGGTACATCTACACCCGCTATTAAGGTGAAGCAGTAAACTCAGGTGCTTATTTGCTCCAAAGTTTGTTGCTCCCAGGCTCCATGTTTACACAGGCACCCAGGACCACAGCACATTGAGCTGGTCAGAGCAGCCCTGGCTGGTAGGAGGCCCAGGGAGTCGGCCTGCCATCCCAGGGCTGCTCCAACATAGCTCAATGTGCTGCGGATGTACTGACTGGCGAGCAAGGCTGCTCTACTGTGGGGGGTAGCCAGCAGGCAGCCTCCACACTGAAGCACCCTCATGCCCCAGTCAGCTGTATTAGCATCTACACATGTAGTGCTGCAGAGTTCATTAGTTTCCTGCAGCCTAACAGGGCCACACGTGTAGATGCAAGACATTAACTATAAAGCTGATTTGTCTACTTTGCAGTAAATGTCTCATGTAGATGTGCTCCATGTTTATTTGAAGTCCAAATTTTCTGTTTCCCAGCCAGTGTCTGTTCTTCATAGATCTTTGTCAACTACTGCTTTGATATCAACATAATCTGCATATCTAAGGTTATTCAGAGAGTTTCCACGTAACATGTGAAAGTTGTAACTTTTGTTTGCAGCACCAGTTGAATAAATCCAATGATGGCTTTCCTCCCTATCTCACTCTAAATCCTCAGGAACACTCCATTATCTTTTTTTCCTACTTTAACCACTCTCAACTTATTGTAGATTTTTTTTTCTATAAATATAATTGTGCAGTGTATTCTCAAAACTTGTCACAAACTTTTCTGCCACAAACTTTTTCTGCTTTTTGAAGTCGATAAAGTAATTAAACTAATTGTAGCGGGCTCACTTGTGTTTTATATGCTTGCCTAAAATGTCACAAATGACTGGTCTGTTTTATCCCATTCAGGCCTGTTCCCATGTGAGAATCACTTCTATATGGTTTTCATCCTCCTCTGCAGTGTTCCAGTGAATATTTTCCTTGGATACTCAATAGATGGATTCGTCTTTATGACTTGCACTAGTCTCCCCTTTTTAAAAAACTGGTACTATAATTAATTTCCCCAATCATTCAATGCATTTTTCTTATTGGTAAATCTTACTATATACCAAGTGGTATCTTACTAAATACCTAGTAACTCTTACTAAATACAACAGCTGAGCTGCTACAAGACGGTGAGGAATACATGCTAAAGGCTATTTACCATGTGTTCCTCACCTTCATGTAGCAGCTCAGCAGTTGTATTATAATTTCTTAGCAACTTCTTTTTTAAACTTTTTGAAGATCCTCCAAGTATTCTAGCACTTGTTCCTCATTTCCACTAGGGAGCTTCTCCTTGTGAGTTATGTCTACAATGTTGTACAACACTAAACAATACTTTTCGCCAGGGGTGCACCAATAGAGATTTTGAGGGCTGATACTGATAGCCAATTTTTAAGGAGGTATATCGGCCGATACTGATCCAATTTCCAATACAGCTGAGTCCAGCTGGTAAGTCCATTATGATGAAAGGTGAGGGGGAGGGAAGGGGCATGGGGGACAGATCAACGCCCCCTGCAGTGACGGTGGGAGCCCCCCTGTAGCCTCCTCCCAGCACCACTACTGCCTGCCCCAAGCGCAGCACAGCATGGCCCCCGGCCTACAGCTGCAGCCTGCCCTGCCCCTCCCCATACAGTTCCAGGGCCACCCCCGCCCTCCCCCTCCCCCATACC